CCAGACATTTGATTTGATCGAAGGAGAAGAGGATTGAAAGAAGAAGATATAACGCTACACATAATGCGGGTAAATATCGATTTCACTGTACAGGATCTCAAGGCTTGAGTCTCTCTCCCTCACTCCTATCCTCCTTCTCTTCCTCTCGCTTTTTCTACCCCACTCCCATTTTTCAGTGTCTTCTGTAGCTAGCTACTTGTACACTCTTCTATATAGGACATTCACTTTAGCTGGTCATGTTTTCTGTAATACCCACGTACTCATTGTTTTCCCTCCCCTTCCCCTATCTTTCTCTCTCTCCCTTCCCCTTCTTTCTCTCTCTCTCTCTCTCTCTCTCTCCCTCACTCTCTTTTCTCTCTCTCTTCTCCTTTCACTCTATCATTTTCATCTTTTATTTCTCTCCCTCAATCCTTTCCTTATCCTCATTCCGCCAACATTCTCTTATTTGTAACCCCCCCCCCCCCCCCCACTCAGGGGTCGGAATGACCGCATGCGTGTTGCCAAAATGTCCGATAAAGGGGTACTTTTCGTCCGGCCCGAGAATTGTAAAAAAAGGGGTGTATTTGACTTTTCACCCCGAGATTTCTATAAAAAGGGGGTGTTTTTTTTTTTTTTTTCTCTAATCTCTTTGGACTCCTGAGAAGTTATTCCGAATTTAGGGGGGGTACATTGAGCATTTTTCGTGATTTAGGGGGGTCTCCAAGGCAGGAAAAGCCCGCGAAAGGGGGGTTCTGAAATGTTGTCCTCAGATAGGGGGTGCTTTTAAAAAGAGGGAACGAGCATATGCGTACCCTAAATAACACTGAGTGGGGGGGGGGGCGGGATTTGTAACCTCATTTTGTTTTCAACGACAGTAATCAATCCTTCGACAACTCAACTGGATGTTTTGATCATATTATGTGCTGATAATTCGATACATTTTACAATTTTGTATTCATAATATTTGTTTCTTACGTTATTTATCATAATCTTTGTTCCTTATGCTATTTATGTATTCAAATTGTACTTATCAAGTCTGTTAATAATTTATATACGATGCTTTATTGTGCAAGCCTCCCACGGATAGCAGAAACTGAAAAGTCAACCCTACTTAAATAAAACTGTAAATAAAATAAATTAATAAACACGGTAGCAAAGACTCCCGATAAATCACCGCAAGGTAAATTTCATATATGCCCCATAGAAATCATGTTGGGATAACTCGATGGTAATGCTCGAATATATGTCTTTCAGAATCAAAAGGTGATGTACAAAGTCAATGATATTGCCTCATGTTGATTTTTTCGAAAGTATATAGATGTCATCGTTGTGTCCATATAGTGTGTGATGACGTTTCATGTAAATATACATTGCTATAACAATGTCACGATATGACCATAATGTGAATACTTAGTACAAAAAGGGGCTGCTCATAGCGTAAAAGAGATCATAACTGTGACACGCGAATAATATATACGCTCCAAATACAGCGTAGTTCCCTCTCGATCTCACGCACAACCCTTCTGAAGAAAACAAAATATTAATGATAATGCCAAATATATTTGATTAATTTTATTTCTTTCGGTTGCGTTCAAACCCACGTTTTCAAAGGACTTTATATGAGAAGGAAGTATCGAAGCTCCATGAATATAACTGATCAATCAGGCAAGATATTACCCAGAGATCCACCCAGGTGAAGTAAATGGGTACCTGGTAGGAATTTAGGGTGCTAGATTTTAACTTTCAAATAAAATTACACTTATTATTTTTTCTAGGAGACCGAACATTATATTTTGTCATCAAACAAAACGGGACAAGATATGAAAATTACATATTAAGGTACATCACTGTCAAAATTCGCAGTTATTTTTGGCACCCAAATATATTGCCCGAATATCAGTATTTTCAAAGTTCTCGGGGAAAGGGGAGGGGCTACTGAGCCCTCCACCCCACTCCCTCCCCTCTGCATGCGTGGTACGCCTATATTATGGTGAAAGGCTAATCATAATTATTACAGTTATAGACATGTACTTTAACATGTCATGCTAGAGATCGAACTTTAACTATAAAAGTATGATGGGGTGACCAAAGTTCGCGGAGATTTTAAAAATATTTGGAAAATGTGATATTCGATACATGAATTCTCATAATTCATATTTATAAAGTACAATAGTTACCAAATGAACTGCAAAGTTTTTGATTACAAATTGGTGCAACTATAAATATTTATTCTCAAAGAACTTCGGAAATAATCGCGATCTAAATGCGCTGCAATTAAAAAAAAAGTAATTGAAAACGAACGAGAGTTAAAACCTGATTTATCACAAAAAGCGATGAATCAAAATAATATAAGATAATTGCATATTGTGCAAGGCAAACTATCATACAACCGTGACCAGTTGGTACCACGTTTTACTTACAATGTTGATGACATCATTTTCGGAATGGACGCAAAAAAATGCAAATTTGCCGATCTTTTGTCAATATTTTCATAATGCCACACCCTAAGTCATCGAAAATGACGTCTCGGAGTAATTTTAGGTTCCTCTTTCCATTGGTGGTATCAGATTTTCGAAATCTTACCGATTTTTCGAGATAGCAAACTTAGGTCACGCACGAACTATGGTCACACCCCCATAAAAATGTATAATTTTGTCGACTTGATCAAAAACTCATTTGACATTGTGTATCATATTTCATGTTATCGAATAAATCCTTTTAGTTAATACATTATGACACTGTTCACTTTATGTTTTTTCTTTATTGTTGGTGTGTTCAATTCTTAAAAATATGTCAACCGCAACCAATCCAATTTATTTCAAGCTTATCTGTACTAGTTTATAGGAGGGATTAGAGCAAGGTCACTGGACAGGTGGTTATCTCGTCAACTCAGCTCTCAATTAGAAAAAGAGGATCATGGGGGACCAATGGTCACCGATTAGGCATCGTTTTATATATAGAGGGAGCAAGTAGCTACAAGTAGGACAGTGTGGCTTAAGTTTTTGAAAAAATATATATGTATAAAATATTAAAAAAAACAACTATCGATGTCTTCGTAAAGATCGAACTATATCTAGTGCAGATAAATAGCGAGTGAGAAAGGATCAGAGATTGTGTGAATGTTTCAAATGGGGCTGAAAGAGAGAGGGGCGACAGAGAGGGGGACCGAGAGAGAGAGAGAGAGAGAGAGAGAGAGAGAGAGAGAGAGAGAGGCTGCGTGCGAATAATAAGATTATTTCGAGATCAGGGGCGGCGATTTCTTTTCATGATCGGGGGTGGGGGGGGGGGGGACGACGAAAAGCGAGGGACGAGGGAGCAGTGGCATAATGGGCCAAAACTTTTTTTGGGGAGGGCAGAAGAAAAGAAAAAAAATCCGCATCACCACCACTCTTACACGTTACGCAGGCCCTTGGAACGTTTTTCAAAGTAGGGGGGGGGGGGGGGAGGCTAAAGTATTTTCGATCAGGTAGAGCAAAGCAAAGCGAAGTGGAGCGTACATTGGCGTGGGGTCCAGGGGCAAAGCCCCGGCGGGTATCAAGGGGTGGAGCCTAATGAAGCTCAGGGGTTTTAGGCATTTAATTACGGTCAGATGAGCATATTTTGATACCTTATTTGTGACACTGGCATGCAGGTCACTTATTGGGAGGGGTCCAGTGGGCGGAGCTACCAGAAGCTCAGGGGTTTTGGGCATTTAATTACAATTAGAATAAGGGGCCGCCTTAGGGCCCTTGGTGGGGTCCAGGGGGCAGAGCCCCTGGAAGCTCAGGCGGTTTAGGCATTTAATTTTGGTCAGATGAGCAACCAGGGGCCCAACTTAGGGCCCTTCGTGGGGTCCAGGGGGCAGGGCACCCGGAACGTCAGGGAAAAATCATGCCATTTCTACAACATTTGTAAATCACTATAGTATCGAATAAACCACGTTTTAATTTCATTAGGGGGGAACTGCCCCCATGCAAAGCCCCACGACCCCATCAGTACGCAAATGCGAGGGAGCATTGTGAATAAGAGGGGTGAAGATGACGGAAGTGACTACCCCTCACAGGTTTTTGAAGTAATTTGTTGTATTAACAAAATTACATCCTTAGCAAAACTATAGTATAAACGTTAGCAATATACTTTTTTAACCCTTCAATTTTCTCGGTATTTACTTGTACATTTTGAAGGATATTATGCGAGGGAGCGTAGCTACCGAGTGAGAAGATTTTTGCATTTTTATTTGTTTAAACGCTGCACTCTTAGGCCCTCCAGAGCCTAAAAGTGCAGTCTTTAGTTATTTTGCTATACATTTATTTTTTGGTGCACTTTTTTCAAATTTTGAGGGGGGGGGGGGGACGATCCCCCTCAAAAAAAAAAAAAATCGAGGGGGGGGGGGGGGGAGGGGGCGTGTCCGCCCCCCCCCCCCCCCCCCCCCCGGGATCGCCGCCGCTGTTCGAGATATCCTGCCCATACCATGATACACCAGAACGGACGTCCTGAAAATATCCCCATTCCCCAAATAGGTAGGCCAAGAAGGCCGGGGTATATCCAGGATCTTTAAAAAGAAGAGGGACGACCAAGACTCACCAAGTCCCCCCGATATCTTGTTTAACCAAGGAGTGTAACTCCTTGGTTTAACCGATACAAAGTATTACGAATCGCTGCCTTGGCCCTCCCGACAGTCCCCCCCCCCCCTCTCTCTCTCTCTCTCTCTCTCTCTCCCTCCCTCTCTCTCACCCCGCCCTCTCTCTCTCCCCCCCTCTCTCTCTCTCTCTCTCGCTCTCTCGCTCTCTCTCCCTTTTTCTCCCTCTCTCTCCGAGGGTATGATAGGAGTAACCCTCGGAGAGATGAATAAATAAATATAACAAAATTAAAAAATCAATACTAATAAATCTACTAATGATAATTATAAATAAGTAAATAAATTAATTAATTAATAAATTAAAAATGATAATAATTATAGAATAGGTCTACATAAAATAGACTCTCGTGACAATTTTTACCTCTGGCAAAATTAAAAAAATTATCCTGCTACTGCTGGATCACAGGCTATAGTAGTCGAAACGCTGCTAAGCATCCATATCAACAATTTTAATGTGAGTTTTGCCTCTAGGAGGAAATTTACTTATAGAATCATGTATTATGGGTTTTTCCGAAATATATGTTTGATAGTTTTTGTGTTGTACTTAACGCCGTTCTTAATATGCAATATAATATCAAAATATTACTTATGAAATATGAATTGCCTGAATATCTGTCGATAGTTTTTGTTCAGGTTTTAATGAAAACGGTCCCACATCATTGAAATTTGTGTAGGGTCTAGCCTCTAGGCCTAGATCTAGGTTAACGTTAACTAGCCTGCCCTGGGCCTGGCCTGGCCTGGCACACTCCCATTCAGGCTTACCAAAAAGTCCACGGGATTCCACTTGCCTTGTCTTGAGTAAAAATAAAATCCATAGGCCTACATTACAGTCATTAGACAGCTGAAATTCCTGGCTTCATTATAAAATCTAGAAAGAATGTAGATCTAGATCTAGATCTAGAATAATTTGTTTTCTAATAATAGCCCGCTCCCCGCTCTATATCTACTCCAGCTCTACGCGTACGCTGCACTGGATGGTTCATGGAGCGTATAATACTAGCTACACGTACGCTGCGCTGCATGGATGGAGCGTGCAATACTATCTACGCATACGCTGCGCTGGATAGAGCGTACAATACTAGACCGAAAGCTTCAGTCTCTATACCGTCGGTTGTTCCACTGAGACTACGTCTGGCTCCACTAGACCTCCGGTTATAGAGACTGAACGATCGCCTATGCCAGCCTATGTTGAAGATATCACGGCTAGATTTTAGCCGTTAGGCCCCTCCCACAAACATGAACAAACTTGCCTTGGCCGTATTGTTATGCCCCCAAAATCCCCCAAAATGTCATTTTACCTCGTGCATATCCAATTTTACATTAGGCCTAGGGCTAGGCTATAATACATCGGTTCCACTTACTAATTTGATTGAAATAATCCGTTTAATGGTCCCTTTTAAGGAAATTATGGGTCAAAATCGACATCCATGTTGAAAATCTTGCAAGCCGTGTTAAACTCTCGCTGCCGTCAATCTCATCCCTTCTAGTCTACGCCGAAGGCAAAAATGATTATTAAGGAAAAACTGTGATAACGCCATTACGAACGTGTAGATGGCGCACAGTTTTTCCTTCATAATCATTTTGCCTTCGGCGTAGACTAGAAGGGATGAGATTGACGGCAGCGAGAGTTTAACACGGCTTGCAAGATTTTCAACATGGATGTCGATTTTGACCCATAATTTCCTTAAAAGGGACCATTAAACGGATTATTTCAATCAAGTTAGTAAGTGGAACCGATGTATTATAGCCTAGGCCTAATGTAAAATTGGATATGCACGAGGTAAAATGACATTTTGGGGGATTTTGGGGGCATAACAATACGGCCGTGGCAAGTTTTTTCATGTTTGTGGGAGGGGCCTAACAGCTAAAATCTAGCCGTGATATCTTCAACATAGGCTGGCATAGGCGATCGTTCTGTCTCTATAACCGGAGGTCTAGTGGAGCCAGACGTAGTCTCAGTGGAACAACCGACGGTATAGAGACTGAAGCTTTCGGTCTAGTACAATACTAGCTACGCGTATGTTGCGCTGGATATTGATATTAGCGTGGGATATAACTTTTTACAGCGCTTTTTTTTGCATTATCATGCATGCATCAAAAATAAGTGCATGTCATGTGACGTGTTTTGACCAATCACGATGCTTAAAATACTAGAGCCATTTTATAATCATCTATAGATCTACGTCTATATCCCTCTTGAGGACCAGGACCATTAACAGAATCAGAATCAGATAACAACGTATAGTCTATTATAACTATTAATTATAACTTCAATGCATCACACCAGTTAAACTAGTGGTCGTAATGTGTATGTTACCACTAGCCACTAGGAGTACTAGGAGCTTGAAATGCATTAGGAAAATGTAGGATCTAGACGAAGTAGTACTAGTAGTAGAAGACGACGCGATGTTGGAAGAAATACCTTGAATAAGGTTTGAAAATGTTGATCCTGACAAACGGCTGCGCTGCGTCATATTCAGTTTGTGCATTTCTTGGTTATGGCGCCAGCCTGAGAGGCGAGTGCTTGAATCTCTGAAGTGAAATAGTTTAGTGCAACTCGACCCAAAAAGAAAAAGTTGGGTTGTTTCACGAACAAGGAAAAAGCATGATTCTGGGATGTGCCACTCCAGCAAAGCATCGATGCAAATGCGTATTGACCTCTAGCACTGCATACTTGCTGTGAGGCAGGTATTATACACAAATACACACACCACACACAATTGCTTAGACTGCACACAATAGGACCGATTGGGCTGATCGGCAAATTTGACACTAGACTTACAATTTGAATTTTTAAATTATTTTTTTTAACATTGGTAAGTTAAAACAATCGTATTTTACTGCTATTTAGGTGTCATCAATTGTCACTAAAAGTACCGATTTTTTGTGAAATCAGTTGAGTTTTGTACAGTGGTGTTTGAAATGTTGAGAATTACTTTTAATACACAGCCAGGATAATAATGCAGCTATGTGTGGGATGTGCAACATACTAGTTTCATGTTGCAGACCGATTTTTGGTGGCTTATTTGTATTGCCCGCGATGATTATGGGAAGTACCAAGTCTATCGCTGGGAAGAATATCAGTGCAGATTTCTGCGTTTTTGGATAAAATTTTGACCTTAGATTATAACTGGAAATATCAGAAGTTAAGAGAATTAAATGTATCTCATATTTCACTTGTTATTCCTCATACAGATAACCAAAGTGACCCTTTGAACGATATGAATCAGTATTCAATACTTGATCGGATTGGAGAAGGTGCACATGGCATTGTTTTCAAGGCAAAGCATATTGAGGTAAGAATGAAAAGGTAGAAAATGATGTCTTTCCATATTGAAATACTTTTAAGCATCATTTAAAAAAAAGTATGTCTTGTATAATTTTGCTTTCTGTTAAAAAATAATATTTTGAAAGTTTATCAAATGATGGATGTATAAAGTATAGACCTTAATTAATCTTTTAAAACATAACTTGAAAGTTTCCCTTGTAAGTTGTACTGTTGTCCTGTGTTCCGCTATAATTATCTGAGTAGCAAACATAGCCAGCACTTCATAACAATTTCTGTAAAAATACAAATCTTTAATATTTAGTAACGTTTCAATTTAATTTTTCATTGTTAGCCCCTAGTTCTTGTGAATCTTGAAGAGTTTTATGTTTTATTCAGACTGGTGAAATAGTTGCATTGAAGAAGGTTCCACTGAGGAAATTAGATGATGGAATTCCAAACACAGCTCTAAGGTAAGCAATTTTTGATTGTTTTTATGATGACATTTACGGAAAGAAAATAATTCTTTTTAAAGAAATAGCTCTGATTGCACTTGTTATGATCAGTGTACATGGAAAAAATCTGTGTAAACGGCAATAAAAAGTTGCAAATGAAATTCTGTAATTGAAATTAAAATCATTTCCCATGAAAAAGGATTAAATCATCATGAGCGTATCACCACAGGTTTTCACCCTTCTTTGTTCTTTCTATTTCTCTTTTGTATAATTCCTTCAGGGAAATAAAAGCATTGCAAGAAATTGAGGAGAACCAATATGTGAGTATTGCCAACGATTTCTGTTTTGATAGTGATATTGATGTGTGTTTGATTGATCAATTAATTGATAGGTATATTGATATTGATCATTTTGACATTATTTTTGTTATATTGTGTAGGAGAGAAAAATGAGCTACATTGGAAGATAATCATATAAAAAGTCTGTAGATGGCTCTGGCTTAAAAACATTCCAAACCTTCATCACTCACAGATTAGATTCTTTCAGATATTGTCAGGCAAAATACAAACAATGGAACTAAGGGGTATGTTTTTGGTATATTTTATTGAATTCCTTTTGACATTGTGAGTGGGATTGACTTGGCTTAAGATCTAATTGTTGGTCATCAGAATTTTGATATAGCAGGATAAGGTCAGAAGGTAATTCAAAACACAGATATGCGTTTCTTCTGGTATTGTATGTAAAGGTGTTGTAGTCAAGTGACACTTGTTTGGAGACGCTAAAGTAGCGGGTTCGATCGCTGGAACGGGGCTTTCGCATATGTCCTTACCCCTGAAGCGAGACAATCTGTCTACCCGATATGCTGTGAAAAAGTGCATGGCTGGAATGCACCGAGTGTTGGAAAGCCTGAATCTAATCACAGGTGCAATTATATATCTGTAAAGTGCATAGAGCCATTGTACATAGCTGTACCGGGCACCGTGTAAATGCAGGACATTGTTATCATTTCTGATCTACAGGTTGTGAAGTTGAAGGATGTCTTTCCCCATGGCACTGGCTTTGTACTAGTATTTGAGTTCATGCTGTCGGATCTCTCTGAAGTGATTAGGAATTCAGATCAACCCCTCACAGAAGCCCAGGTCAAGAGCTACATGTTAATGCTTCTTAAAGGCATAACACACTGCCATGAGAACTCCATTATGCACAGAGTAAGCCCATACTGTAGACACGATATATCAAGGGTTCAGTGACACATAGACGTAACTCTATATTTTGCCAAAATGAGTATTTGATATTAAAATGTTCAGAAAAATGTGAGCTTTCCAGGAAACAAAGACTTAAGTCCACCCAACACCCCATTGAAGTCAATGGCTAGTGAACCATAGACTTAAGTCCTTAAGGCCCACATTTTAAACCACTTTTTCTAAAAATTATCAAAATGGAGTTACGTCTTTGTGTCACTAACCCCTCAATATATAGATCTGTGGAACTATGATTAAACCTGCTTTAGTGATCAATACTATAGAAAGACCCACCTATTAAGACCTTTTTCCTTCTTTAAATGAAACTAGCTGTACTAAGACCATCTGCTGTAATGTAAATTCTTTATTAATTAAAAATAATAATAATGTAGTTATCTTTATTTCAGCTTACACTGTTGTAAATTGAAGTTGTAAGGTGCTGAGCAATTGACCTGTTGAGTTCAAATTCATGGACTTCCAAAAACCTAAATTTACAAACTGTAATTAGTCTTGATTTCTAATGTATTTTATTCTTTACTTTTTATATATTGTATATTTAAGAAGAATACATTTACATTTGAAACTTTGTGAGGAAAAGTCTTTGCCCAAAATTGAAGTGATATAACCATTGATAAATCTTTTAGGATTCATATTTGGAATATTCTCACATATTATGGTAGTGTCAAAACTAATAATAATGACATGATTCATAATTCCGTTTTCCTTGTGTCCAATCTTTGATTGTCAGGATCTGAAGCCAGCCAATCTTTTAATCAGTGAGACCGGGCACTTGAAGATAGCTGACTTTGGTCTGGCAAGGGTCTTCAGTAATGACGAGGGAAGGCAGTACAGCCACCAAGTAGCTACAAGGTCAGTAGACTATGTGCTAAACTGCCACAAGAAATTTGCTGTGGCAAAATGAGAGTTCTTGAAAAATAATCTAAGTGAAATTTAAAGTATATGTTTTGGCATTTATTAGGAGGGATTTATAGCTTTTAGTGAGTATGAGGATTGCGGAGATATTTCTAAGGAAATCTCATGTATATTTTGGCATCAATACAGAAGAACTTTGATGTACCATTCTGCCAATTAGTGTACTTCAATTGTCATTATAACCATTTGTCTCTGATTTCATTTTCTCCGAAAGGGAAATCCAACCTTGATAACAAACAACTCTAAAAGAAAGCAGAAAAATCAGAGAAGCAGACTGGTGAAAGTTTGGACGAAATCTGACATAAAATAAGAAAATTTTTAATACAAAAAAAAAAGTTGTAATCTCTATATGTATGGGAAATTCAAATTGGCTGTAACTGTAATTTTACTGTGATTTAGTACTAGTACTACAAGGGTTGGAATGCCCATTAAGGGTAGGATCCAATGTATTTCAATGATTAACAAATCTTCATACTAACAAGGTGAATGACTTAAGATGAGAACAATTTTTTTTCTGGTTAACATCTAATAAATCTTCATTAGACAAGGTGAATGAATATTACATTTGGATGAGAAAATGTTTGCCGGGTAGATTCACTATAGATAAAAGATCTGTGGGATTTGTCTTCTAGATGGTACCGTGCTCCGGAGCTTCTGTATGGAGCCAGAAAATATGATGAAGGAGCAGACCTGTGGTACGTATCAAAATTATTCTGCATGATAGTGTAATGAGAAGTATACCGGGTGTTTTGAAATTTCATGATATATATGTATTTCAGGTACTTATATTTATGTACTTATGTAACAATCACCTCTTGCCAGACTATATTAAAACATTCTTTCAGTTTAATAATGAATATCATGGATACAATACAAGAAATGCTAATGATTTTCATTTACCCAAACCGAGGCTCTCATCTTTTAAAAATTCAATATTATTTCAAGGACCCCAAATCTGGAACTCTCTTTCTTCAGATATTAAACAAGCAGTTTCGTTAAATGTTTTTAAGTCAAAATCTAGGCACTTTATTTTAGACAGGTATTCACCAAGTTTGTTTGTTTAAATGTATAGGTATACCCCCCCCCTTTATGTTGTTGTAAGTGATTTGTTATTTTTTGTAGCGTCCTTAATGTATTATGTTACAGGGTCAGCTAATCACAAGGCTTGTTCCTTTCTTGCTGTCCCTCTCATACTTAATCCAAATGTATACTTTGTTATTAATTTTTCTTGTGAATTTTATCCTTTGTATCATGTTGATTTATGAATGTTTGCACGTGTTTTCTGGATTTTTATGAGCAAATAAATTGAAATTGAAATTGAAATTGAAGTATTATAATATTGAAAGGTCAGATCATTGTACGGACAAATGCTTTTGATTGATTTTTTGATTGATAACAATACCCAGTCCTTGTATAGCACAGAATGGCATTTTAATCAACGTCTCCATATGTGCTTCCAAAGATCTTTTGATTACCGTATTACTCCGGCTCTAATAGCAGAGCAGCCCTAATGAAAGTGCTGAAGCTTCAAGGAATTAATTCCTTCCTGTACCCATTACCACTTCATCTTGGTTGAGTGTTTCAAATTTACCGGTAGATAACATCTTGCAGGCCTTAAATTTCAATATATTTAGGGCAAGGCCACTTTTCTGTAGGGCACATTCCTATAAATAGGAAGAATTGCATGAAAAGGACACAAAAAATCTCCAAGGCCAATGAGAGGGGCATTGAGGCCAATCAAAAGGGCACCCACGGCCATGGCCTTGGTGGCCTTGGATTGATTTAAGCCCTGATCTTGCCATATGATGTTAGTCCTGGGGCAGGGATTTATGATCTGCAGTCTGGTGACTTATCCGCTGGACTGGATCATCTCTACAGACCTTTAAAGACCTATCATTATATTTATGTCACTGTAAGTTGGTACAACACTTAATGGGGGAATGCACTATTTTTTTTAAAGGTGGGTCACTATTCGTTTTGTGGTAAAAAAAATCAGTTGAAAAAGTTATAACTTTAAACAACTTTAAACAGCAGCAATTGTGGTCTTATTATCTTGTTGATTCATTGTAGGGATAACCCTGATCTTGATTATAATCGGTTGAAAGTTTAAGAACAACTATTATCTTCTCATTTTCAGGTTTTTCATTAACATATACATGTAAGCAAATTTTTTTCTTTCCATGTTTCTTTTTGTGTGTGCATTGTACAGGGCCGTTGGTTGCATTTTTGGAGAGCTTTTGAACAACTCGCCTATCTTCCCTGGAGAAAATGATATTGAGCAGCTTTGCTGTGTGCTTAGAATCTTGGGAACGCCCACAGAGAAAACCTGGCCGGTATGTTCTTGGAGAAGACTTCTTCTAACAAACATGTAGAATGTAGACTCTGAGCTGTGTCCCGTTTGATGTTGGTGTCCAATATACATTTTAACTCCTTTATATGATTGGTATAAACAAGTGATTTCATATCTTTTCTTGATTGCTGATTTATTCTTGCCTCTGAAACGGATTAAAGGCCCGGTCAGACCTCATGATAGCGATAACAATAACTTTAACTATAAATCATTCCCATCTCGCTCCCCTGTAATTTTTGTTGAAATGGAATTGGAAATTAGTAGGTTAGACCTCTCTCTGAACAGATTTATCACCTCATTGGGATTGCTCATCCACCATTATCAATGGAACTATGTTTTAGCCAATAATTGCACTCCTTCAATGTGATGTAAGTAGCAGGAGAAGAATGAAGGCAATGTCTATAGTTTTAGATTGACTGAACCGACCATTTTGTTATTATTGTTGCGAACATCTGGTGAGGTCTGACTACTTTTATTCTTATCAGTACATATATAGTCTATCATTATTGTCGGCGCATGTTCTGACCAGGGATCTGTTTTCACCGTCAAAGCCTTTTTTTCTATGACAAATGACAAAAATCAGTGACAAATCTGCTGATAACCTATCAAAAGCAAAGATTTCACTAGCTTATAACAAAAAATGTCTTTTAAATGTCACTGAAGAAATGTTTTGTGAAATGGGGCCCTGGCATTAATAACGTGCACCATAGTACATTATATGTGTCTGAATGTTAGTAGGGTACGTTTATATGCGTACGTTCATTTCAATACTTTGAAATGAGGTTGCAGAATATGCATGATATCTAAATTGATTGAAGTATGATCGATTTAAAAGTAATGTGGATGTATTTACCTCTATGTCACTTACCAGTATTTTATTCAACTGATTTTATTTTCTTCTTCAGGGTATGAAAGACCTACCAGACTACAACAAGATCACATTTCCAGAAAATCCACCCATACCCCTGGAACAAATTGTTCCTGATGCATCTCCAGAGGTAAGATCTATTGATAGCAGAATTGAATATTTGAAGATGTCCAACATTCCACTCCAATTCCACTACCCTTTAATTATGCAAGAGAGACATTTATGTGAAGATAATGCATAGTTTTAGTGAAAGTCGAAGGGGTCAAAATGGATTTCCTTAATTTGCATTCTTTTTAGTATTCTAAGATGGTGTAGAACAACGACACCTCTAAAAAGTTTGCTCTAAATTCAAATTGCATGTCAGATGTCATACGTATTGAATATTGAGGATTTATTCATCACTGTTTAGGCTTATAAATGCAATCGACTTTCTGAAGAATGAGTTTTTCATATCGCCACAATAACACATTTATCATGTGACAAAAATCTCATTTCCATGAAGGATCTGAAGATTCCTCCATGTCTCTATTATGATGATATGAATGGCATTCCAGCACACATGTTGGATACCAATGGAAGTTCATGTTTGTAATCACTGGTTTTGCACTTATTCATATTCATGTTTATAAACCAAAGCTTTCTTACCTGCACCAGTTGATTGTGTTTAAGGTTTTGTCTCTTTGTCTCTGTTTCATTACAGGCTTTAGATTTGCTGAAGAAATTCTTGGTGTATCCTTCAAGACAAAGGATATCCGCGTCTGAGGTAATACAATAGCGCTCATTTTTTAATTGTTTTATTTCTCAATATAGTACAAGACTTTTGATTGGATATCTGGGGATTTATAGGTGCATCTGCATGATAATGTTTGATCGGTTTAGGACAAGTCATTGGTTAACATCTTCACACAGTAACAGTTGAGAAACACATCTGAGCATTAAGCACCATTTATTAAACATGACAGAGTTTTTAGAATATGGCCATTGACCTTTAATTTTGCTTGGTCGAGGAATCGCTTCATCCTTATTTTTTAAAAGAGCTCCTCCTATATCTCCAGAGAGCCTGTAGGATGTTCACTCATATCTTTTTAAACTGATTTAATGCCATTTTTGCTGTCAACAGACAATAAGCTTCCAATTCCCTATCAATAATGATCCAACGCATGTGATTAATGTCCTACTCATGATTATTCATGATCTTTATCTTTGCTTTTCCAGGCCTTGCTCCATCCGTATTTCTTCACGGAGCCCCTCCCGGCTCATCACTCCGAGCTCCCAATCCCACAGCGCAGCAGGCGAGGTCGAAGGTCACAGCATGCCAAGGAGTATGACATTGACGTACCACTGGAACAGACCCTGATTGACCCCCAAGAAATTGCTCCATTTGTCTGAAGAGTTGCATTTCCATGGCAAGGCAATACCATAGCGTATTGAGTGAAATAGTTGCGTCACTGGAAATTGCTTCTGATTGGTCAGTTATTTCATGGAACTCCAAATTGTACGTGGGAGGAATTTATTAGGAGTTCCATGACTGCTTACCGGTACGTGTATATGCACATGTGACAACTATCTCTCCCAATATGCTTTTGGGCAATACCAATGTCCCAGCTTAAACTTTTAAATCAGAAACATAAGAATCTTTTTTCTTTAAAGCTAAAAAAATAGTTGGGGATTCCAAAAGAGGGACGGGCATTTACAGTGTAACATCTTGTACAGGATTGACAATTTTTTTAATATTTGACAAGTTTTTACATTCAGCATAAACATAATACAAATATACAGACATTTATATCCATGTAACAATAAATCAAAGAAGAAATCAAATGGATCTATAGTATAGAGAATAGAAAACATCAGCGATTGTCAAAATCCCCCCTTCTTAGAACAAAAAAGGATTTATGTCAGCGTATCATCTGGCTAAACTGCTTGAATAGGGTTATTTTCTAAAATTCTGGAAATTAAGTGCTTTTTTTTCATTGTGCCTATCTTTTTGTTGCGTCTTTCAGCAATAAACCTTTCTACCATCCAAAAATATTTAACATAATGTACAAAATGATGAACATTGGGCATGTTTTCTGTAATCCTATACCTAAAGATATATTGCTTTCCTAACAAAAGCAGGAAATTAATGGTGAAAACGTGTCTTACTTTGACAAGCTTGGTCAGCCCAGACAGGATATTTTTAGTTGAAAAAATCGAGAATTGACAGTTCATTGAAGAAATCTAAAACGTATTACTTATTTGGTCTTGCACCAAATAAGTAACTTTCACCACTCTGTTTCTTTTTTAAATTTGTGCTTTCATACAGGCAAATGAAATTATTACAAAAAGGTTAGATTGCCCTTTAGTACTGTACATCTTACGAGTTTGTACCTGTCACTAGTTCTGTGCTGTGACTTCTCTTTATTATTATAGAACATAAACATTTGTATATAATCATTGGTAGACATCCAATGTGTTTGTACATCAGTGTAAATATCAAGTGTATTTGTAAATATGGATTGTATTTATTTCTTGTATATTGTACAGTATTTAAGCCAACATCGAAAAACTATGTACTTGTGTAAAATCTATGTACTTTGAAATAATTAGAAATTTTCTATGCTATGTGGATAATGATCGATATGTAATCTCTAATGTATCTTTAAAATTTGTCTTTCATTTTCTTTTTTCTAGAGTATTTTCATTTAATACTCAACAACAAATAGACATTGTTGAATGCTTACATTTTCCCTCTCATATATAAAGCTACGGTGTATTATGGCTATGTAATCATCACTCAAAATTGTTTGTTTATTTACATCGTCTTGAAATGTATGTGATATCACTCTTAATGATCAGTAGTTTTCTCAACTCACTCCACATGGTATAACTTCCATTAGTAGGGATAGGAAGAACTTTTAGTAGGTCTGAATTAAAGTGAAATGTAATGCAAAGGATTTCTGCCTCTGAGGTACAATACAATAGTGCTCATTTTTGTATTGTTTTATTTCTCAATATAGTACAACAAGACTTTTGATTTGATATCTGGGGATTTTAGTTGTATAGGTTCCTCTGCATCTGTAGAGGAATTTTGAAGCCCTTTTTGTCACGATTTGCAGGATGCGCACACTAAAGTTCTCTTCCATTTTTTTTTTTATAGAAAGAAGAGGGGGGGGGGGGGTGAATGTACAATTTAACAAAAGGCCTTGCGAACATTTGTTGAGAGTTGCATGTGTGCAAAGGAAAGCCCACATCACACTTTATGTATATAATGTGATGTCACTTTGGAAGGAATTGTAACAGCATAAATCTTTTAAAAAAAGTGACAAATGCAATCGACCTGAACAGGTGTCTTGACAAGAATGTGAAAGGTAAAAATAAATGGGCTTTTTATTCAGAGAAAAGGCCAAATGAATCAAAATTTTGAGACTGGTGAAGACATATTTATTGATTATTTTGCCCAAGTCACACAGCTAAACAGACTCCACATCGTCTCCAAATCAATCGATGGTTGGTCATTGGGGGTAATGTAAAAGCCTGTTCGGTCCGTCATTGGTCCGCTGCTGCTCGGGTTGGTATGACGGGTATTTAATGGCCAATCAGGCTTTCTTCAACTTGTAGACCCACAGTTACTTTTAAGATTCAAGGCTGCTACTGGTATTCACTTTTACATGTAGGAACCTCAATGAGAAAGACGTTGCTAATAAATTTTCATATTATTAAGTATTCTTTGAAAATAGCAGTTAGACATGGGACATGGGAGGGGAAGGAGGAAATGAGAGAGGGTATTGGTGAGGGCTAGAGGCTGTGAGAGACGAGATGAGAGGGGGGGGGGGAAAGAGAGAATGGTAGAGATATTCGTTCTGATAGCAGAATAAACAAAACTCGAATCAAACCTAACCATATTCAGTTTGACTGTATTAAACTAGATATATGTTCATCACACACACACAAACACGAAAAGAAGTCCAATTAAAAGAAAAAGAAGGCCAATCACTTTTGAAATTCAGCCTCGAGATTACTTTATTTCATTACACGTATATATATGATAATTCTGAAATAGAAAACTCTTAGCTTTTCATTTACCATAAATTGCAAAAATATCAGATAAATTCATGTAAATATACCATAAATGATTGAAAGAAAGGAATGCAAAATATATATCAATTGAACTTGCAATCATGGAAGAAAGGTCAAGAATTTCCATAAATGCTTTGAAAATACATGTTTTTTTTTTACATAATCCAAACAAAATAAATTAAATTTCGAAAGGAGAAGTCATTAAAATGCATCTAATTATGATTGATATATTACTAGACTATGCAGGGAAAGAAAAACTAAATACCCCCTGACCCTTCACAATATATAAAGTGAAAGTAGATTCTTTTACAAAAATAATGAATATTTTTCTTCTCGGCCTAGCTTAACTACCAAGCAGTTATAACTGAACTACATGTTACATTACACCAAGGTAATTCTGTATTTGAAAGGGACACTTAGATATTTTGTTGCCTACACCAATTCTACAAATAATTGAAAAAGAATTGCGAGTTATCATATTGAATCATATTGAAATCAAATCCATTAATATATCATGAGCTTGCAGGTTCTACGCTCACACCAGCCGTAATGCATGGATACAAGACTGTGATACACATTGATTTATGCCATCATGCTCATAATTCAGTTAGGCTTATATAAAGATACATCTCAAACAAACTTTATCCTTTTTATTATCCCTCAATGAGAAGAGTTGCGAACAAAGTCGAGCATTCCCTTCAGAGTTATTATTTTATTGTTGACATTAATTGATATAAACACCTTTTCTTTTCTACTGCCAAACTGTCAATGTAAATAAGTGAGCAATTGTTTTTGGAAAGAGACATTATCTCTTAAACACACATAATGACTTTTGACCCATATTTATTGCATCAACCCAAACTTGGTACCAGAAGATTTTGACAATACTTTTGGAAAAGCCTGCTGCTCAGTCATCCATGGCAGCACAATTATGAGAATTGTATCATTAGACAGGGTATTAGTTACCCTTTACCATGAAATGTGAGTCAAGGTCACATAAATTATAACTTTTTAATTAGAAGCTACCAAAGTAGGGTACACTTTTTTTATTTGCACTGTACAATACTGAAGGTAGTAAAATGATAAAAGATTTAATGATGATCTGCCTTACTTTGACATTTAGGGAGCAAACAACAGTTTTCTGATATGGAAAATGCTGTTAGACAATTTTTTTTTCTTACAGGCTAACTGTTTACACAAAACGTAACTAGCACACAAAGTAATTTGGCATGTTTGAGCATTTCAACAAATAACTCTTGGTTCACAAGTATGTAAAATGTTATCTTTTGTTCATAAGGTGATACTAAAATACATTATCAAAACTTCTGTCATGTCATTTCCATACACAGTATTCCCTATAATGGTTTTGATATTAAACGCAGAGCCCGCAGCCTATCCCCGCCCCCCCCCCCCCCTCAGTGTTATTTAGGGTACGCATATGCTCGTTCCCTCTTTTTGAAAGCACCCCCTATCTGAGGACTGCCAACATTTCCGAACCCCCCTTTCGCGGGCTTTTCGCGGGCTTTTCGCGGGCTTTTCGCTGGCTTTTCCTGCCTTGGAGACCCCCTCAAATCAGGAAAAATGCTCAATGTACCCCCCTAAATTCAGAATAACTTCTCAGGAGTCCCAAAGAGATGAGAGAAAAAAAAAAGGAAAAACACCCCCTTTTTAAAGAAATCTCCGGGTGAAAAGTCAAATACACCCCTTTTTTTACAATTCTCTGGCTGGACGTTGTCGCACAAAAAGTACCCCTTTACCGGACATTTTGGCAACACGCATGCGGTCATTCCGACCCCTGAGTGGGGGGGGGGGCGGGAACCTATCACATTTAGGTGTAAAAGAAATTCATGTCATGATTCAGCCAGACTGTATTTTTTCTTGAAACAAAATTCAAATCATTACACTTAAAATGAGGCCAGCCGCCAAAGTCTCACAAAACCATTACATCAACATCCCAATTAAACACATGTTCGGCTCACATTTCAAAGGGATGTCAACAAAATTGTACTAATGAAGTTGTCATGAATTGATGTCCAGATACACACTTACATGTAAGCACCACATTACAGAGGTACAGTAATACACTTTTTTTAAATAAAGGCACAAAAAACACATTTCCATAATCTTTTAGTTTCTGAGACATCCATGATGGAAGAACAGAAACACATGAAAATTCATTTTGGAATGCCTACAATGTCTATTCTAAAGAAATCATTTGCTTAGCGTGAATTTGTTTAATCTATTTGATAAGGGCACTTATAAGTTGTGTTAATGCTGACTTCTCTGGTACTTGTATCTCCCAGATGTTATATTGCACCGATTACATAATTTGGGGGCTTATATCACAAACAAGATTCTTTCATTTTATTTAATCTAGAAATCTATTGAGAATTACTGAAAAATATGGAATTTTGAATACTGAAGTGGGAAAAACAAACATATATTTTGGGCAGAGTCAAATTTGTGTACCATAAATGGTCAAGGCTGTCTGAAGGACATAGACTATTTTATTGATCACAGACCATCCGCATGAAACAACACAAAAATGTAATTCCACAAAATATATGCCCTTCAGGAGCACTGTGTTATAAAAGCATTTGTATAGACATTCCTTCTCTCTACACAGGTGTAGATATGGGTACCAGATAAGACACACACATTCTTTGTCTTTGTGTCTGTAAATTATCCCCAGTGAAGGTAGATGCACTGCACATGCACAATATTACTTGATCTAATGATTAGAAAAATAATCATTATTATGTCAATTGATAGTAGTAGTATGTACTATACAAATATCATTATCATCATCATACCAAATGCAGTCAATAGTAATATATTTGCACACATTAAACCTTTGTTATATATACAACTTGTCACAAAATTAACTTTGCCCTGTAGAAAATAAACAAGAAGGATACTCTGTAAAACGGAAAAGAATAAATAATTTTTGAGATAAAAAATATTTCTTTTCTCAAGATGCTAGTTATAAAATAAAAAGTCATTCAATGAACAGAGAATCAATCATGTACCGTTTGGCATTTTCTTACTTGATTCTGACACTACTGGTGTAGTGTTTACTGGCTTTGGTAAGCTGTACAGATATATAGCTACAATGACAATCCCTGCTCCTAGGCAGAATTGAGTGTTGATCTGGAATCCAAATAATAACACCGAGAGCACTGTTGATATAATAATACTAAAACTTGTGGCGAATCCCTTGAGGATGTTGTCCGCGTACTTCACGACCACGGCAACCAAGAGTCCTCCAAAGGCCTGCATGGCTATCACCAGAACAACATACTTGGTGTAGCCGAAGAAGAAGCCTTTTTCTACCACGTCTGTGCCATCCTTATACCAGACACCAAGGACACCTGTGAGAGATCCAAACAGTCCTAGCTGGACGTTCCGCAACCAGATGGACCCTTGGCTGCCCTTGAGGATCTTCTCAAAGTACACACCTGCGAATCCTGAAGATATGCAGGATATGATGACGGCTATCAACCCAATCATGGGAGACTGATCTGTTGCCGTGGTCTCTGAAGCTGTTTTAGAAGGATCAGCTGGCTGCATCTAAACAGATTACCATCAGAATTAAGAATGATTAGGTTAGTGCTTTTGGTTGAAGCTGGTGGCACTGGTGCAAACAAAGTCTTGCAATTCAGTTCAAAAAGCATTTTAGCATGTGTCTTTACCATTACCATATTTGGTCAAGTCGGACTAAAAGTGTAATTGGGAAAAGGTAAAAATAATTTTATCAAAATCCATGATAGGGAAAAAAACACTCCAGTGCTTGACATGAGCTAAAAAGGTTTGACTGCCATTTTGGGCAACAAAATTTGACTGATTTTGTATTTTTAGGGACATATAAAAGTAAAGTACTAAGATTTTTTAATGCTTCTCATTTTGCATTTTATGCATCTTCAATCTATATTCACTCCTTTTCATTTTTCTTACAAATCTTGTCAAAAAGTAAAAATATACAAGACTCTCACTACAATGTATCACATAACTTCACAATATTTGGTGGCCTGACATTGCAGTTTAGCGACCCTGAGACATGGGGCCACTGCTTGTGTTGAGACTTGCTTTAATAGCAGAGGTCAGTGAAATTGGACTGGCAGTACTGTCTGCTCCGTCTTCACCTACTGTAAAAACAAAGTCGCATCTTTCAGATGATTCTGTTAAAGGTTAATCCATAGACGTAAATAAACATATCTGATTGATTGATTGATATAAATGAAACCCAATGAGGTACAACACTCTCTTTACCTGAACTATGGCAACTCCAATGAATAGAAGAACCAGTGCAAACCATTGGAGCGATCCTAGTGTCTTCTTCAGCATGATAACAGAGAAGAGGGCGGTAGTCAGGATCTTTAACTGGTATGTCACCTGGAAATGAAACAATAAAGATAAATTGGAGTCCTGGGGCCCCGTTTCACAAAGCCTTTTTTCAATGACAAATGACAAAAACCAGTGACAAATCTGTTGATAACCAATCAGAAGCAAAGATTTCAGTAGCTCATAACAAAAACTGTCATTTGTCACTGATGACAAGTTTTGTGAAATGCCCCCCGGGTCATGCAATTACATTGTGAAAGAAACTGTGAGGAAGCAATTTGAAAAGGCTGATTATGTAGTACATAAGATACTATGTAATAAAAAGTTCTGGAATGATCAAAATGAAAAGCAATTGACTCAACCTTGCTGAAAAGGATAGTTAAGTGACTAAACAAACAAATATTTGGTCCAAATTTTTGCAATTATTTCTTGTCATGTTTTGAATATAAGGGCATTTTAAGAGCAATCCTTTTGAGTGGACATTTCTACTACATGATATTCTCCTAAATTGACATACAAAGAGTGAGAAGCTTCACGTTAATGGTAATATTGAGTGATTATCTTGTGTAGGAAAATGAAATAAATAAATAATATGATGTTTCATGTATGAGAAATATGCTACGGAATCGATATATTCACATTTGACACGCTGTCTGCTTTCAAAGATATTCATATTGATAGTCAATTAAATCTTCAAAAAGAGCCGTTTAGGCTTACTAAGGTGTTATGCATATGGCAACAGGCTCATCACACGTTCTATTAGTCTCATGTTTGTGCAGTAAACTATCTTGAAAGCAAATATTGAGAACAGGTAAACGTGCAAAAATAATCTGTAAGCTACATGTAGTCTGTATCTGTATTCCTAAATGAAACGACATCACTGTCGTAATGTTTTTAGGAACTGATGCTTTTGAAATGTTTAACAACAGTTTATTAATTGGACCAACTATTTTTTGCAAGATATGAGCCCATATACCCCTTATCCACGTACAATGCTTTTCAGTAATGGTGTCATTCTGAAGTATTGCATTATTCTGTTAAAATCTTTATAGTACCAAAACATCATACCAAGCAATTATTAATAATAACCCATTTTTAACAAATCAGAATAATATTGTTCAGAAATGAACCACCAGAACTCATAATTCCCCAAAACAGTCAACAAACCTGAAATGTGGCAGCACTAAGGTTTGACACGGCGATGTAAAGCAGGTTATTCTGGATCATGTAGATGAAAGCAGGCACGGCCAGTTTCAGAGTGTCCATCGGTTGTAAAGCAATATTCTGCCACAGGAACCTTCCCAGCTCGAAGACGTTGCCTGACAGCTGAACGAGGATGATGAACAAGCAGGTACACATCTTGAGAGTCTCGCAAATGATGACGGCAGTGGAGGTAAAGTACTGGTCGCCAGGAAGCGTCCGGGTGTAGCGCATGGTGAGGATGAGGGATGCATTCTGGAGGACCAGAAAGAAAAGGCTCGCATACTTGATGTTGCTATTCCTCCCTGGAAATTACAGCAAAATAGAGAAAAATAAAGATAAGAAAATTAGTTGTAAATGGATTCCATGGATCTGTATGATGACAAAGTGTTCCAGAGAAAAAGTTCATACATATTTCACAGAGTAATTGATTGTTGCCTAACCTGAGTGGTCAAAGGGTAGTTACAAGGAACATGCTGGACAACCAGAAAACCTTGAATGCATGAATTTTTTTCTTCTTTAATTGAGATGTGAAAATATATTCAATCTAAATTTAATTTCAAAAATTAAATTTCATGAATTTAGAAAGTGATTCATATTTGTGAAAGTTTCAAGCTGTGAAATATTCATGTCGTAAATTTCAGGTTTTACAGTTGTTTCATCCAAGTGACTTTGCAATTTTTAAACACATCCAGCTTTCATGAAATACTGACTACATTGTAAATTTAGTACTGAGCTGGAAACAATACGTGTACATGTCATCTGTTTGTCAGATGATGTTTGTGTTTCAGAGCGATGTAATGAACCATCATCAAATTAACAGTCTCTGCTAATGGACCTAATGTTAAGTAAAGTACATGCCCGACTCACTGCCCGTATGTACAAATAATGTATGGAATTTTGATCAGATTTTCACTCTTCAACCAACAGAGGCACATACAGTACATGTGCATATATTATTGCGGATGGTTGCTTAAAGAATCAAAGATAAACATTTTCAAATAATTGAACACCGTTCATCATTTTCAGCTCTTCCTTCTCCCATATCCCCAAAATACAGGTGTTGCATGCTCCGTGACCATTATAGTACAAACAAGTACAGGAACATAAAGACATGGGGCACTGAAAACAAATAACAACAGAGCTCGGTATGGACTGCACACATGCATCTAATACTTTCAATGTCTTTCAGAGTTAAAACCTTCCCAAAGTAGTTCCTTGAGAATGAACATTGCAGAACAGACTTTAGTACCCAGTAACTGCTATTTGAAAGTGTTCTAAACTAACAAATAATTGTATTCATTTTAAGTACATGTCTGGCTATTAATTGCCACTGCCAGCAAAGAAATTAGAATTTCCTGTTTATGCCCACACAGGGAAGTCAAAACACATACCGGATATTTTGTTTTATTTATTAAAAAAAAGTAAAATGGGAAGCTTTATAATCCTAATTTTTTCTTTTTCTTTTGCTAATAAAAGACAAATACTTCCTTATATAAAATAACATTTTTTGTCCTCAATTTCACTAGGGCAAAGGCAAAAAAGAAATCGGTTTGTGGGAAGAAAAAAAAAAATCAAAAATTAGAAATTTAAGGTATTAAAATAAAAGGAATCAGTTTGTGGGAAGAAAAAAAAAGGAAAAAAAAAAAGAAATTTAAGGTATTAAAATCAAACACCACAATTTGTGAATAGGGAGCCTATGACATCACTGCCTCATAAGAGGGTTGCCAATTTTTCCCTGCTAGATAGTGATCTCCATACCATCAAAATATTCAAAACTTTTTTTTTAATCATTTGCCTGATTTCCCTTAAAACTGTGTTTAGACAAGGTTGACTCTCATTTGCCTGCTTTTTTTAAGTAACTCATTCGGTGATGACGGTTTTCCTTTAAAGAGTGATCATAATGAAAGTTTCAACATGAGAACAAATTGTTTGAAAACTTATAAGTTGAATTATTGTTTTTATATATAACCTTCATGTTGTAAGCAAAAACTAGAATACCTTGCCAAAAACAATCTTTGAGGAACTTCCATTGACTGCATGCTACAAATTCAGGAAACACCTTCTTTTTCTTCAATTGGACCTCAAAATATGCCAAGTTCTCTGAGTAATTTCATTACTGACATCCTTACATTCAAGCTTTCCATGAGGCACCTCTGCTAAAGAAAAAGGTAAATGCACAACTTGACCCCCCCCCCCCCCCACCAAAAAAAAAAAAAAGTTGGGTCTCAATCACTGTACGTTATAATGAATTTTTAAATGGGGAATAAAGATAAATGAGCATTTTACTTGCAAGGACCAGGCAGGAATGTGGCTCTTTCTCGAGCCTTGACCGTGCACCCCCACCATACTTCTTCCTGTATTTGACATGCAAATAGCAACTCTTTCCCAAATATTGCTCTACAAAGAGCATAGATTTTTACAACAAAGGAAAAACCCATGTACAGATATAGAATCACTTGAAAAAGGCAAACAACTGAGCTCATATAAGTATGAGATTAATCATATGGTACAAAATGAATACCCTAATAAGTAATTACCAGATGAATGATTGGAAAGACATGGAATTATTATCAATACAATTACAAGCAAAAGTATCATTTGTTATGGGAAGAATATTAGGAGCTCAAATGTCTATGTTAAACAAGCACTAAAGCCAAACCATAAAAAGCAAAATTCCTTCAATTCCTACACAAACATAGTGCATTTCATAACACTATCTAAGGCCTCTGAACCAACAACATAATTTATATATATATGAAAAAGATATGACTTTATATAACTGTACACGTAGACAATAGGATATGGTACAGAGGAGCTCCAGGCCTATTCAAAGAATACGTTGCCAATTACCTATAGAAATGTCAAGTACTCTGTAGATCTGAGCTGTGGATGTTTACACTTATACTCAACTTGGTACATGTATGTACCATTCATGTGTACATAACAACAACAAATGGGAGGGTGTGATCGGGGATTGGACGGATGCCTTACTAATTAAGTTACTTGCAATGAACTTACATGAGTGAGAACATTACATTGTTTGTCCAAAGCCAGTCTAAGGGTCTTACAGTCTCTGATTAGACACCCTTTTAGCTCCAAACACAGGACATGATATGTAGCGGGTCACCATATATTTCAATATCTAATAATCTTATTATTCATATGATTGTAAGGGGAATCACTGAGGTTTTTTGCAAGCAATTGGCTTTTTAATGCGATTTCCCAGGCACCACTTTATTATATATTACATCTTTGTATTTTGAATTATATTCAATATATGCAGTAGATCTGATCAACACAGACAAAAAAAAACTCCTTAGAATGAGTATTCAAGGATGACTACATATAATCATGCATGCCTCACTGGGTAGCCGTTAAGGAGTCACCCACTTTTAAAGGTGCATAGTTGTGGATTCTCATTAGGAATTCGACAGTTGACACCATTCAACAACTTACTGAACATATACTGGACAGCGGACAATACCGGTAGGTGTTATCAATCACCCTACTCTAGGTGGACTTCTGTGTAGAGTCTGTAGACCGACCAAGGGTCTTACAAAACAGGCACACCCTTCCCCAACTTCAAAAATAATCTACCGCACAAGGAAAAGTCATTGTTATGAATTTCGTAACCAAATGGTTTAACGCTTTCCGATCTCTAGCAACATGTTCCAGATGGGACAGAAGTTTTGCTGCGTGCAAGATTTGAACACACATAAATTAGTAATTCTACCAAGTCTGGTGTATGCAAACTATGAGGCAATGCACAGGACACTGCCAAGAATATGTCTTTAATAACTGGATGGTGTTGCCGAGCCGTCACTAGCTCAGACAGCCAGTGAGCGTAGAATAGACATTGTTCTGAACCAGCGAGCTTAACAATTTTATCAGTAATACCATAGCAATGTTATGTTTGGTCGCATGATGCTATGTTGACCAATCACTGAACAGGATTTCCTTTATCAAAAATATAATACAGTTTACTCAGTCTCTTCACAATACCCTGCTTTAATACCTAATGGGCAAGTACTAAATATGGCGTGAAATGACTTGTGTGATGTCCATTTATATTGTGAACTCCACAATATCAGGCAACATATGCGGCATTGAATGACCAATACTAGTACATAATCATGAACTTAGTTTAAAGGACTACCACTGGCCAGCCATTTTGCTATAGTATATAAGTATGTTTTTAATAATATGATATTGCTATATCGATGGTTCACCAAAAGCCAATAGCACGGTCGCATGCAACTACTTTCAACAGAAATCAACCTTCATTAAAGAGAAGGTTCATTGATTTAAAAAACTAACTTTAATGTCATTATTGCAAAGGTGACACTTTGATTGCCCAAGGTTATCAAAAGCCAATGCTTGGAAACATTCAAAGTAATGATTATTAACATTTACAAAACGCTTAGATACAGCCCTGACATAGCACCGGAAAAAGCTCCCCCGTCGCTGCTGAGATATGACGTCACATGTTGAACATGATGTGCACAAGCTTACGTTGTTCCATGACATCTCGCACAATTTCAGTGCCCGTTTTGGCATCTTTTCTTCAGTTATTTCTCTATTGCCTCACTCTAAACCCCGTGCATGGTATTATTTTGATTAAAAATGCAAGGATAAAAAAAAAAAAGGAATCTGTTGCTTGTAAACAAAATAAGACGCCATTGTATTTTCAGCTGCATACACCGCGTCATGTTCGGCCTTTCAAGAGGAAACAAATGACGTCCATGCTATCATTCCGGAGGTTTTTTAATTTGAAAGTGTGGTTTCTTTGATTGTTCATGAACCCCTATCCTGTGTATTTACAAAACAAAAGAAATTAGTTATCAGAATAGGGGTCATGTCCTTTTTTGAATGGTGTAAAATTCCATCACATTTAAATACACTAAACTCATTATAATTTGAGAAATAAAAGCATTGCAATTATGTTCATTCTAGGTTATGGGATGTTGTCTGCTTGGGCAGGGTTGGTTCATACTGTGACGTCATTAAAACATCATTATTTTTTCGGCGAATTTCTCCTACATTTATATCCCAGATGCCATGGAGGTTGTTTTATTTGTATTTTTATAAATCACCCGATATGTAGTTGACCTAAAACGTGCATGATGGCCATCTGGTAGGTTACCAGTTTTTAGTAATATGCTATTTGCCATATTTGTGATTTTCTATGAACTAGCACTTTAAAGGGATCGTTTAACAACGTTAAATCTGAGATACACGGCCCTACGTGTTATCAGTGTCTGTGATATGGTGTAATATTGAAGCCCTAAAAAAAACTGCGCTT